TAGCAAAAGAACATGAACTTCAGAAAATTCAAGTTAAAAAGGAACATTTGGAACTAATTATGACAGAATTGGAAGTGTCAACTACAACAGGTGAAAAAGCTCTTCGTGAAAGTAAAGGCGATGTTGTGCTTGCATTAAAAAATCTAATAAAAGTAGCTGAAAGAGTTATTGACCTAGATCTAGAAAGAGTTACTGACTGGACAGAAGAATCTGAAATTTCAAAAGATATTTCAAATGTAATGAAAATATGATTTTCTTTTTAACCTCGTTTTCTTATAATCATTTTTTTACGAATATACAGGCTGTGAATCTTTTTGCAGATAAGCGTAACAAAGAACATGAAGAGAAGTTAGCAAAAGAACATGAACTTCAGAAAATTCAAGTTAAAAAGGAACATTTGGAACTAGTTATGACAGAATTGGAAGTGTCAGCAACAACAGTTGAAAAAGCTCTTCGTGAAAATAAAGGCGATGTTGTGCTTGCATTAACAAATCTAATAGAAGAAGCTAATTTTAAGAAGGCATTTAATTTAACACTGTCAAATTTAATGAAGCAAAACATTGTAGTTTTGCCTACTAAAAATGATGAAAGTTTTTAAATAAAAAAAGGAAACCCAGGAGGTAAGGACATCAATTTTTTTCAATTTTCTTCGAATAAAGGTTTTCATTTGTAATTGTGCCATGAAATCTAAGTTATTTATCTACCTCCTATGCCTACCGTGTTCTTCATATAATAAAATAAAAAAAAAAGAATTATATTTACTCCTGTAATAAGCTGAAATGAATAACGAGAAAATGTTACGAAATTAATTCCATCAATTTATTCGCCACTTAAATTTGAGTGTTTATGCAATAATAAAATATCAAAACATAATACAAAGTTCTGCAATTTTTTTTCATGATATGTTATCAAATTCCACCGCAAAATTAATTTTATGTGAACTTAATAGTAAAATAAAGTTATAATTTTAACCTCCACCTTACCCTATCACCCATCTTATTCTTAGTATTTTTCTGAAAGATTCGTTTTTTAAGAAAATTTGCAAAATTCGATTTGTTGATGTTAAGTTTTTTAAACAGCCAGTATTTTTGAACAGCTATTTGCCAATATTTTTAAAATTGTTTTCAAATCAATGAAATGCTCTAGGATTATCCCATCGAGCAACCATTGTTGCAGCTTTGACTACAAGGCTGACACATCCACCAAATCATACAAGGTATGCATGGCATGCATGGAACACAAGGCGCCCTAATTCATAAAAGAATCGAATATGTTTTACTATTAAAAAGAAACTACAAAACTCATCACTTACGTTGTAGTTGTTGTGTCAGAAATAGTCGTAGTATCGTCAACAGTAGTCTCTTCAGTAGTCGTAGTCGTAGTTGTCTCGTCTGTGGGATCATCATCATTAAAAGAGGAAAATAGTTATGAGATATATGTAGCAATTTTAGTAACTTTTTTATATTTTTACCTTCACATGGAAGTGGGTCAGGTATACTAGTGAATGCACAAGCAGGGTTCCAATCCCAAGGAAATTCGCAACTATGAGTTTTAAAAATATGTATATATACCTAAATGTGATCTTTATGATCTTCTCATTAAATTATTTAGAATTTTAATCTTTGAAAAATGTCTAATGGCCATTGTATACATACATAGAAGTATTTAAATGTATCCGAATTTTGCTTGAGTATGAATAAATAAAAATTTTATTATTCACGTTTGTTTACAAAAATTGTTGACCCCTCTGAATATTGCGGCCCTACAAGCCCTACAAGTAAATTTTGACATTCAGACACAAACTGTTCAACTGAATTGCTTTTGTTTATATGCTAACTTTTCAATATTTCATTTAATTTAAACTCGATTAAGCTTTTA